ATGAGGAGGAGAAGGAGCAGGGCGGGGGGGGTGAGGACGAGGATGAGGATGAGGTGGTGTTGATGATGGTAGTGATGATGATAATGTTGACGATGATGATGATGATGCTGATGCTGATGCTGATGCTGATGCTGATGCTGATGCTGATGCTGCTGCTGCTGATGATGATGATGATGATGATGATGGCGGTGGTGGTGATGATGATGATGGCGGTGGTGGTGATGATGATGATGCTGATGTTGTTGATGATGATGGTGATGATGATGATCGTGATGGTGATGATGATGATGATGATGCTGATGCTGCTGGTGATGATGATGGTGATGTGGTTGATGATGATGACGACTATTGTGATGACGATGCTGATGACGATGATGGTGACGATGTCCGTGACAATGACGATGACGAGTCTGATAATGTGGTTGATGATGATGACGCTTATTGTGATGATGCTGCTTCTGAGTATGAGCATGATGATGCTGGCGCTGCTGCTGATACGGATGCTGATGACGATGATGATGATGTTGATGTTGATGATGCTTTTGATGGTGATGATGTTGATGCAGGCGATGCTGATGTTGGCGATGATGCTGTTTGTGCTGATGATGTTGTTGTTGCTGATGATGGTGATGTTGATGGTACTGGTGGTGGCGATGCCGCGGCGGGTGATGAGGATGGTGATGTTGATGATGATGCTGCTGCTGATGATGATGATGATGATGCTGATGGTGATGATGATGATGATGGTGGTGATGATGATGATGATGATGATGATGATGATGGTGATGATGACAATAATGAGAAGGAGGCGTAGGAGGATGACCACGATGAGAACGAGAAGGGATCAGCACAAGCGCAGGATGCGGAGGACGAGGGAGGACGAGGAAGTGCAGGAGGAGGGGTAAGAGGAGGTGAAGCTGTATGAGTATGATGAGGACATGGAGGAGGAGGGGGAGGAGGAGGAGGAGGAGGAGGAGGAGGAGGAGGAGGAGGAGGAAGCGGAGGAAGCGGAGAGGAGGAGGAGGAGGAGGAGGAGGAGAGGAGGACGAGGAGGAGGAGGACGAGGACGAGGAGGGGGAAGGGGGCGGGGGCGAGGAGGAGGAGGCGGAGGAGGAGGAGCAGGAGGAGGGGGAGGAGGGGGGGCATGAGGCTGAGGAGCAGCAACATCATATGAGGAGGAGGAGTCGGAGGAGAAGGAGGAGGAGGATTAAGAGGAGAAGGAGGAGACGGGGGAGGACCAGAGTAAACCAAATGCTCATCAATTATGTTGAATCCACCCTGCCTCCAAGACCCCTCTTCACAGGCCCCTACAAGAGGTCATCTCCACTGGGGGAAGTGTCCCGTTGGGGGACAACCGTGCGAGCATCGTGACGCGTGCCAAACCACCATTCCCAGGACTTCGACGCCACGAGTTAGCCTGATTGTTACGCCCTGGCGATCATGAATCATGCCAGAACACCATTCCTGGGACGCCAACACCGCGAATCGACGTAACTGTTGCGCCCTGACAGTCCAGAACCGCTCATACGCACGATTGCTTGGTACTTCCGCCATCAGAATCAGTGAAACTCGCGCGAAGGTTTAAACGAATGTCCGCGGTGCTAAGGCGATGGCTACATGTTGAAAAGGAGTTGCCCTCAATCTTTGACGTCTTGCACACGTTCAGAGATAATGTGCGCGGCGCTAAAGTGGGAGCCACATGTTGAACACCACCCGCCCTCAATCAGTGAAGCTCTTGCAACAGTTTAAGACGAATGTGCGCGGCGCTAAGGCAAGAGCCATTTCTTGAAAACCACCCGTCCTCAACCCGTGAAGCACTTGTCATTGTTTGAAGACGAACGTGCGCGGCGCGAAGGCGAGAGCCGCAGGTCGAAACGAACCGCTCTCAATCCATGAGGCTCTTGCACATGTGTACAACGAATGCGCGCGGCGCTTAGGCGAACACAGCGTTTTGAACACCACCCGCCCTCAACCCGTGTAGCTCGTGCGATGTGTTTTATACGATTGTACGCACCGCTAAGGCGATAGCCACATTTTGAAAACCACCCGCTCTCAACACGTGAAGGTCTTGCAATTGTGTCCAACGAATGCGCGCGACGCTAAGGCGAGAGCCACTTTTTGAAAACCACCCGCCCTCAACCCGTGAAACACTTGCAATTGTGTAAAGACGAATGTGCGCGGCGCGAAGACGAAAGCCACATGTTGAATACCATCCGCGCTCGATCCGTGCCGCTTTTAAAGTCTTTGAATACGGATGTGCGCAACGCTAAGACAAGAGCCACATGTTGAAAACCACCCGCCCTCAACGCGTCAAGCTCTTCCACATTTAAAGAAACGAATGGGCGCGGCGCTGATGCGAGAGTCACATTTTGAGAACGGCCCGCCCTCCATCTGTGAAATTGTTGCCAATGTTAAAGCATCAACGTCATCCATGGTGAGGAAGTGTCAGGCGCCCTTTCGACAGGCCTCGGGGTGCGACACGCGGATTTACCTATAGGGA